CACACACACACACACACACACACACACACACACTCTCATTCTCTCTTTCACCTCCCCACACACCACACTCTCACACATATATATTCTCATCTACATCATTTATGATTATCACAAACAGTAAGGGACCCAGCATCAATCTCTGGGGCACACTAGTGTATAGCAAGCTCCACACAAACAGCCTTCTACCACCATCCTCTGTCTCCTGTCACTAAGCCAGTTTTGGATCCACCTTACCAAGTTAACCTGGATCCCATGAGTTTTTATTTTCAGTTTCCCATGTGGAATCTTGTCAAAGGCCTTGCCTGAAATCCAAATAAACTACATCAACTATCCTAACCTCATCGAAACACTTGGTGACCTCGTCAAAAATTCCTCTAGATTTGGTAGGTATGACCTCTGTCTGACAAAACTATGCTGGCCATCCCTGATCAAACCTCGCCCCTCTGCAAGGAAATTCATTTTCTCCTCCATTTTCTCCAAAAGTTTCCCTACCACTGATGTTAACCTCACTGGTTGATGGTTCCCTGGTCTATTTGTACCACCCTTCTTATCCTCCAGTCCTCTGACACCTTCCCTGTGGCCAGAGATGATTTGCAAATTTGGGTCAGAGCCCCTGTAATTTCCTCCCTCGTCTCCCTCAGCAGCCTGGATACAATGCATTTGTCCACTTTTAAATCTGCCACAACCTTCTTTGCTTTTTATATCAATTTGCTCAAGAACTTTGCAGTCCACCTTCTTGAATTCTGTACTTGCATCCTCCTTCTCCTAGGAAAAGACTTTGTGAAGTACTCATTTAACATTCTGCCAATGTCCTTTGGCTTCATGCACAGATTACCCCCTTGGTCCCTAAAATACCCTACTCTTTCCCTGGCTATTCTCTTCCTCTTGATATATTTGTAGACTATCTTGGGATTTTTCCCTAATCTTGCCCACGAGTGTTTTCATACCCCCTCTTCTAATTGTTTTCTTGAGTTCCCCCTTCCACTTTTTATGCTCCTCCAGGACCTCAGTTAGTTTGCTCTCTTTCGACCTGACATATATGTCTCTTTTCCTTTTTATCCAGTCCTGAATATTCCTATTCTTTCTCTGGACTTGTTCCTACATTTCACCCTAAAGGAGACATGGTAGCCCTTTATTCTCCCCAGTATCTTTTTAAACATGTCCCACTGTTCTTCTGTAAGATTTAGCCTCAAGTAGCTGCTTGAGTCTATTTTGAGTCTGCTCCAGGTCTACTTTGGCCAGATCCTGCCTTGTTTTAATAAAATCTGCCTTACCTCAATCCAAAAACCTTTTCTTACTGACCATCTTTCTCCTTTTTCATAATAAACCGAAAATACACTGTGTTGTGATCACTGACACTAAAATGCTCTCCACTGCTATTTCAAACGCCTGTGTGGATTAATTCCCCAGAATTAGGTCTGGCACTGCACCATCCCTTGTAGGACCATCTACGTGCTGATGTAAAAAGCATTTCAAGAAAGCTGACTCCTTTAACCCCTTTATACTATGGTTGTCTTAATATATATTTGGGTAGTTCAAATCTTTGAATATAATTACCCTATTATTGTCTTTACACGTCTTAGTGAATTAACAGGAGCATACCTGTATTTACCAACAAAGCCTCATTTGATGACCCTTCCAAGATATTGTGCCTTCGTACTTTTAACTGACTCCCGAACTAATAATGTTACACCACCTCCACTTTTGCACCCTCCCCGTCCCGGCTGAAGATCCTATGCCCCAGAATGTTAAGTTGACAGTCTTGTTCGTCCGTCAGTCACATCTTTGTGATGGCAACAACATCACAGTCCATGTGTCAGTCCACACCCTTAACTCATTTCACCTCTAATACGCCTGGTTTTAAAGTAGAGGCCAACCAGCCTCGCCTTACTTCCTGAGACACCTTGTGGCTGGACTCACCCTTCTTTTCTTAAAGCATATTTGCTGTCTTAAAGACTCAAATAGTTTTGAAGCTTTAATTTATTTTATATTTTATAAATTACAAGCTATTTATATCACAAGAGTACTGCTGTCGGAATCAAATGACTTCAATCCAGTGATCAATGGTCACTTGATTCTAGGTAATATGGTTTGATAACAAACTGACTAAATTTTGATCTATGCTTAGGTGAATGAAAAGAGAAAATCTTTTGCAGAAATTGCATGAAAACAGTTAACTCGTTTTAAACCTTAAATACAGTTTTGAGATGGATGGGAGAAGTACTGAAACATGTAATCTATGTAAGCTTTGAGGGAGGAGGTGGTTGCATGATGTAATGTCACTCGACTGGTTATCCAAAACCCTAGGGGCTTGGGTTTGAATCTTATTGGGGCAGATGATGGAATTTGAATTCAGTGAAATCTGTGACTTAAAGCTAGTGTAGCGGTGACTGTGTAACAATCATGACTGCTGTAAAAACCCATCTAGTTTACTGATGTCCTTCAGGGAAGGAAATCTGTTGTGTTTACTTCGTCTGGCCTACATGTGACTCCAGACCTGCATCAGTATTGATGACTGTTAACTGCCCTCTAAAATGGCAAAGCAAGCCAAATCAGTTCCAAAATAATTTTCAGCAACACCCACGTCACATCAATTAATATTTTTTTAAAAATGAATAGAAATGAGTCCTGCTTTAAAGAAAGTGCTTGTTTTAAGATTAAGTAAATATTTAGGAATATGAAAATAATGCATGTCAGGCAGACTTGAGAATTTATTTTCAGGTCAGTTTTGATCCATTACATTAATTATGCTGTTCCTCGAGCTTCTGTTGAGCTTCAGTGGAATGGTATAGGAGGTTGATGACAGAGGGGTAAGGGTGGGAGTGGGTGAAGAAATAAATTACCATGCTCCTGGAAGCTTATGGTCTGAATGAGGATATTCTACAAAGAAGTCACTCAATCTTTATTTGGTTTCCCCACTGTAATGGTTCCTTTCGAGCCTCAGCATCACAGTTGCCTGCCTTGAGCCATTTCAATTCACTCCATGTGACATCAAGAAATGGCTGAAGGCACTGGCTGCTATAAAGTCTGTAGACCTTGGCAACTTTCTGGCAATAGTCCTGAGAATGTGTGCATGAGAACTAGCTACACTCCTAGTCAAGCTGTCCCAGTAAAGCTACAACACTGACATCTACCTTACAATGTGGAAAATTTCCCCAGGTACATCCTGTACATAAAAAGGTCAAATCCAACCATGACTAAAATAAAACAAAGAACTGTATAGTGGACAGTGAAGAAGGTTATCTAAGATTACAAAGAGACCTTGATCAATTGGGTCAATGGGCTGAGGAGTTTAATTTAGATAAACGTGAAGTACTGCATTTTGGTAAAACAAATAAGGGCAGGACTTACAATTAATAGTAAGGCTGTGGATAGTGTAGTAGAACAGAGTAACCTAGAGGTTCAGGTGCAAAATTCTTTGAAATTTGTGTCACAGGTTGACAGGGTGGTTGAGAAGGTGTTTAGTATGCTTGCATTCATTGCTTAGACCTTTGAGTATAGGAGTTGGGGGCGTCATGTTGAGGTTGTAAAGGACATTGCTGAGGCCTGTTCTGGAGTACTTTGTGCACTTCTGCTCACCCTGTTATAGGAAGGATATTATTAAACAGGAGAGGATTCAGAAAAGATTTATCAGGATGTTTGCTGGGAATGGACGGTTTGAGATATGAGAGTAGACTGGACAGGCTGGGACTTTTTTCACTGGAACATAGGAGATTGAGGTTAACGAAGGTTAAATGGAAGTTAACAACACTCAAGCTTGATAGCATACAGGACAAAACAGCTGGCTAAACCCATCTAACATCTTCAACACATACTCTACCATTGACTGTCATTTGCAGCAGTGTCAGTATGTACAACTTAGAGATGCATAACAAAAAGTCAACCAGACTCCTTCAACAGCATCTTTGAAACCTGTGAACTCGACCAGCTGGAAAGACATTGGTAGCAAATACATGGGAAGACCACCACTTGCAAGTTCCTACACTATCCTGATTTGGAACGATATCACTGTTCCTGATCTGTTAGGACAAAATTCTGGAACTCCCTTCCTGACAGCATTGTGAGTGTACTTACACCGCATTAAATCCAGCAGTTGAAGAAGGCAGCTCACCACCAGCTACTTGAAGGCAATTAGGGATGGGCAAGAAATGCTATAAATGAATAGTTAAAAAGCACTCATATGGATACAACAGAAATGGAGAAACTGAGAGACTGGAATAGTTTCCTTACAAGAGGCAAGGAATGAGGAATTATAGCCATGGTAGCTGTGGGATTCGTGGTTTTATATTGGAGTCAGGTTGCTGTATGTGGCCGTGTGCTTCAACTTAGTACCATGGTAGTTGTGTGTAGGATAAACCCTTGCAATTTTTGCACATTGTATTCAACTAAACAGCTAAATTTACTACCTCAAGCGATCAGTTGAAAGCTTTAATTGTAAATTACAATAATTAGCTTGTGTTATGCCTTTGTTTCAAAGGTGATGAATTATGCAAAATATGGACTGTGACTTATACAAATGTATGTAACTTACGAACTCCCACAATGAGGTGGTGCCATTCCTTCATGTGTTGAAGTAGCAGATTATCGCACCTACGCATATTTAAACTTAAATGTTTTGGTAATTTACATTGTCTTTCTGCAGAGAAACACCAACGTCAGCAGGACCAAATTCTTTCAACAAGGGAAAACAAGGCTTTTCTGACAACCAGAGGTTATGGGAGCGGAAAATGAAAAGTCAGCTGCGGAACTTTGGAGATGAGGACTAAATTGAAAAGGCAGAGTTGTGAGCTGCGGGAAGTGGAGAAGAATTGTAGGGATTGAGATGCATTCTAGATTGCTTTGAAATGGAAACTATTTTCAGTGATGTGTATAATGTATACTTAAAGACTTTCTCACTATAACTTGTAATGAGTGCAATGTGTTTAGTAAACAGTAGATAACCCCCTCAGAGAAATTTCATTCAGAAATATTCAACACAGAAGTTGCCATTTAGATCTTTCATCTCTATTAGCTATCCTTGATTATTTTTAGTGTGCCACTGTGGCTATTTCATTTGGAATCCTGTAAAGTAACGTATCTACATATCAGTTAAAAATAGGAAAGGAAAGTTCTGTTAAATTTCACACCATTGAAAAGTACATGGTCATTAATTGTTTAGCTCCTGAAAACTGTTTCACATTTTATAATAGGAGAGTAGTTTTGGTTTAAGTAAATTTCATGTTACTGAAGAAATTTAAAACCTACCAGAATTATTTCAAGACTTAGATTTTCAATGTCACACCTTCTTCCAGCAAAGGCATGAGGTATTTCTAGGTTGTATATAAACTCAAGTGGGAATAATTTAACTTACCAAGCAACTTTGCCAGCAATGTAGCACAGGCAATCGGTGTGTATGGAGTGGCAAGGACAACCTATATCCTATATCTTCATTCCCATTGATATTCCAAATACTGAACTTGTTTATTGCAGATTATTATTAATGGAGTCATGCTGTTATGAAAATATGATATAGCTCTCAAAATTTGGCATGCTACATTAGAGTGTGGTAAGTACTTCACTTCTATTCCCAAAAGATGTGTCCAATAAATAATAGTTGACAGCAACTGTAGAAGTACAGATTTGGTATGAATTAGAAAGCTCAACCTGTACTTAACTGAGGTGGTTGTATTTGCACCGTCCAGCCACAGCTTCATTGAAATTCTCATTGTCTATTCTTGGGCTTTGCAAGTCTTGTATATTAGTTCTTCTGTACGACCACGATAAATAATAAATTCTAATCTGGGATTTGTTCCTGTTCCCAATACACTTCGTGGCATTCTTCCATTGATAACTCAGACATTAGGGGTTTGGAAGGCTCATTTCTGGGCTCTTGTTCTTTCACTGAATCAAGTAATTTACTGCACTTGCCTTAGGCTATTCTTCAATGTGCTTAATCCCCATTTTAAATAGGCATTCATTTCTGTCTTTAGATTGACTCACCAAAAATCAGATGAGAAGGCATTCCTTTATCAGTTGTAGTGGAGTCTGTCTGTCACAAGTTCTATATAACGACTTATTCTGTTTTCTTCCACTTCCCAGCTCAATATTTTAAGTAGTATAAATCTGCCAGAAATATGAAGGTTAGGAATAACATCCTTGGAGAATAAATAAGGTCTCCAAAAATGTTACCTGTTTACTAAAATCCTGTTAGATTATCTAGAAATACATTTGTGAGTTTGCTACAAAAAGTGAAGAACTATTCCCACCTAAGCATTTATGAATCAAGGGAAAGAGTACTGAGAGAATATTTGTATGTAGTCATATGGGTAGTATTCATTTTCCCATGTTAGGAGACTGCTTTCATGGTGTAGGGTTGACCAAGAGGGATATCATTTGATTGCAATATAATTTTATTTTGGTTAGTCTGAAGGCTGTAACACCATAAGAACATCTGACAGTGCAACACCTAAATGCATATTTATTTCTCTCTACAAATCTGTACATTACAGGCAAAACAAATTGTCTCTATTTACACAATATTTATAGGATTGTGTAAGTATATTTAAAATTAGGCAACCTGGTTCATGCCATAACCTTTTTTCTTAATAAAGTCATTTTTTAGTGAAATGTACCTGAAATTTCTGCTGTAAATGTGTGAGAAAATTTTGCACAATTTAAGGTTGATACCAAGGTTGTGCAAAATTAATTTTGCTGAGATAGTTGTTTCACTATTAATTGTGGAAATTCTTAGCCTTTTCTCACCTAATACGTATAACGGACTTACTTTAATGATCAAGACATGGTGCCTCAAACAGATCTATGCTTCTATCTGCATTCTTTCAGAGGTGGATATTTGCTTTTTGTTGGCCATTTGAGTACAGTTTATAACCAGGGTAGCATACAATGGAGATGAATTATCTTCATTGCATCTGGTAAGTTGGCGGCAGCTGTATATGTGTAATCATGCTGGTAGAATGTGATGGTGCTGTCTGTACCGAAGTGGTGGAATTAGCAAAGCTTTTTGCTCATTAATGATTGGCTTATGCTGGTGTATTTGCCCACATTAATGTAATTTGAGGAAAACATATTAGGCTTGCCCATGATTTACCCCCTTATTGACCAGCTCATCAATATTTACTGAACTCACATAAGGAATATCCACTTGGGGGAAGGTACCAGAGAGCTACTAATACCCGCAAATTTGAATGAAATATTTCCCAGTTGTCCATTGAAACCAGAGACAATATTGACTAACTTTCTCTAAAAACAAATGCATTTCTCATTCCAAGAAGCCTTCCATATCCTTTGCCTTCACTTTAAGACCACTCAAGTTACATTTTCATAGATTGTCTCATACACTCGTGTAAAAGTTAGTCTTCAGTGTAATTAATGTGACTGTGGGAACTTCTTGTCAGCAAACTTGAGTAATCAGCCTTGGGGAAATGCCTTTATATATTTTTCCAATTGAAAAAAGAGGTATTAATTTGTACGAAAACACTCAATAGATGATGCTGCATTAGCCATATCAGTTTGATTCAGCAGATTACTATTCATGGACCGATCTGAGAAGTACATACATGTGGATGTCAGGTAAGGAAACAGTCAGACTTTGCTTTGAACTACACTACCATTCAATAGCATGCTGATGCTCACTGTCAACTTTCACGAGAATAATGACCATGAGGTACTGAAGTGTGCTTGACATCTGTTTGGCATAGGCCAACAAGGAGTAATTGTCGAGAAGAGGGAAGGAAACTTGATGATAAAAGGGGAATAACACTACAGGAAGAGTGTCTTTCTGACAATTAAAGTTCTTTTTAACAAATGAACTGTTGTGCGAGTATCAAAGGTAGTGGAAGCTGAGAGTTTATTGCTTGGCTTGTTTCAGTGAGATGGGATCAATGACTTTTGCAATTGGATCACTCAAAAGCATCAGAAGCATGTAGTACTTTGTCAACTACACTCTTTCCAATTCAGCACTTCTTGTGGATACAGAAACTTCTTGACTGCAAGCTTAAAATGTTGGTTAAAGCCTTCACAGTAGGTTGCTTTACACTGCTTGTTATCACCCTGAAGACATTTGATGCATTTTATGTTACACATCAGACCTGTATCTGAGATTGAGCTGAGCACAGAATTTTTCAAATTTTGGTGGAAGTTCTGTTACAGATTCGGTTCACATTAATACTTCTGTGGCCTGTCTGAGTTGACTCGCCTTTACAGGTGCGTGTGTGTTTTTACTTCTTTCTCTTCCTCAAAAACTTTGCAGGTAACTGGTGAATTGTTTGAAAAGATTTTTGCCCAGCCAGAGGAAAAAAAATCTTCAATTTCCTGTAATTCTTCAGATTCCTCCCACCAAACGCAGGATCTTAACAAATCTGGAAATCATTCGATAATGAAAACCTGTGTTCAAACTGTTCTCTATGGCAGAAGGCCATCTTGAATGTTGACCTACAAATTACAGTTTGCTTTAAAATGTAGTAAATGCACAAGATTATTTTGCACATTATGGAGTATATTACTTCTTATGAGATCAAATTTGAGTAATATACTGATACTAGGCAGAATATAGTTTACTTTGTAAGAGTTAATAGAATGGGAATTGAAGTAATGTCAAGTGAGCAGTTTGTTTCAAATGGCTGTCCTTTGAAGAATGATTTCATATGGTTGAAATTTGTTAATACAATTGCCATGACCTGCTCATAAATGTTCCTTTTTTTTTGCCTTGTCCCTTAACCAGTGCATGATTTCTTAATTGCCGAGGTAAATCTATAGCAATCTGTTTTAAAATCCTCTGTTGCTGTGACCTGCAATTGTTAATCTACGGTCAAGGTTACCTTTTCACGTTGTGGGAATCATGCCTCCCTGAATGACCAAAATGAGTTCATGACTTCAGTTGCAAGGAATCTCGATTGTAAGTGCAAACTATATGCAGGATTTGAACATTAAAACTTGGAATGTTTTCATATGTTGTTATTGTTTTATTTCATCTTCTCTAAAACTTGTGCTGTTTATAAAGAAGCTTCTGGTTGTCTGTTTCAATATGAGGTTTTGTTAAAGAAATGTGATTTTTATTGTACTGACAATGTAAAATTTTGCAATTTGGGCAGGAAAAATAAAATGTTTCTGGGTTAGCAGATTGTCATTATTTAAAAATTTGCATTGTTTGTGTTTAGTGAGTTGTATGATTGAATACCATGCAATACGTTGTGCCGGCAATTACAATAGGCAGCCTTTTCTGTTTGGAGAGTACTGACTAATGTTCTTCCCTCCACTTTTTGATCAGGGTCCTGCATCATGTCCAGGGTTCAATACAATAGCTAATTTAACTTTTTTTTTGGATTTTTTTTTCACCTGTCCTTGTCTAAACTATAGTGGTTGCTAATCTTGTTAGATCAATCATGGCAGACATGCATCATGACCTTTGAATGAAGTATAATTCTTTACTGTCCAGAATCATAAAAAGACAAAGTTGAACACAGGGATACATTTTTAATAGTTCACTGTGCAGCTAACACTGAAGTAATTGATGCCATTTGTAAGAAAAGTAAATCTCTTTAAATCTTTTGAGCTTGCTTCACTAATCATTAAGTTTCTGGCTGGTCTATGACCTAACTTTTTCTCTAACCTGTAATTACTCAATACCTTTGATTTACAAAACATCCAGCTATCTCCGACTTGAAATTGACAGTGGATCTAATCAATACATATTTCCACACAATGTGGACCCTGTTCCGTGGAAAGAAATTCTCAAAAACGGATCTGTCACGGACCTACTTGCAGATAGGGCTCAGTGTTACGACAGGGAATGGCCGAATCCCTCTGATAATTAAACCAAAACACTATCCCCAATCTGTAATGACAGGAGTAGGGGTTCCCCTCTAATAATTACCATCGAAATACCTAGAAAAGCTTGTTTTTCCCCTCGTAATCAATTAATGGTTAAAAGAAATTAAATCCCTGATCTCCACTTTACAAGTAACAAGGAACAATTTAAAACCGAAAGAACTGCGGATGCTGTAAATTGGGAACAAAAACAAATTTGCTGGAAAAGCTCAGCAGGTCTGTGAAGGAAAAAACAGTTAACGTTTCGGGTCCAGTGATCCTTCCTCAGAAGAAACAATCTATTTATTTAACTCAACAATGAACAAATTAACAAAATTACTAACAAACCGACAATTCCCCCTTAGACTACTAACTACGTTCCATTTCTGAAGAAAGGTCCCAACCCGAAACGTCCATTTCCCTGCTCCTCTGATGCTGCCTGGCCTGCTGTGTTCCTCCAGCTCCACACTGTGTTATCCCTAACTGGTCTAAATTCTGCTTGAATGCTGTTTAAATAAAATTAAGTCCCACTGATATAAATCAATTAATATGAAGCAATAAATTATAACTTAATCTCTCCAAGTTAGCACAGACTGTCTTCTGGAATATTCTGTCATCTCTGCTCTCTCGACAAACACCTTTCTTCCGTTAATTCTGCTGTCAGGGATGTTTCATCTCTGTAATTTCTTCAATGAAGACTTTGAGCTAAAATACTGTGGTACCTTTGATTAATTAAACGGGCTTTCTCTGTGAGCTGAATTGTGCTAACTGGCAGGCGGTGGATGGCTCTCCCCGATTTTCCAAATGCCCTTGTCTTATATACCCATAACGATATAATCAAATTCTTATAATATGATTGGTTTCAGGTTGTCAACACCATCAGTTTGTAAATTTAATTGGCTTTGAATTGCTGAATTTAGTTTTAAATTAATTGGCCAAATTGAAACTTGCCACAACTTCAAAACAAGACTGCTGTTTTGCCTGCCACCTGTAGAGC